AAAACATCTGTTTAGGTAAACAGTGACAACTCAGAAGAAAATAAGAAAATAACCTTGAAAAGAAAAATTTAGTGATAATAATAATAGTGACAATAATAAATAATAGTAAAATAATAAAAGATGAATAAATGCAATTAGCAGTAATAATAAGACAAACACATCAAATGAAACGTCAAAAAAATTTTTTGAATAAAATCCATGCCTTTTTAGAAAATTTATCAACTGTTAAATTTTTCAAATTCTAATGTTTTCATTTAATCAATGTTTAAAAACAAATCTTAATCTATCTTATCCGTCTTTAGTCGCCGTTTCATCACCCCCCCTACAAAGAAAACATCTGAAAAAAAAAAAAAAGGGGTAAAATAGAAAAGAGAGAAAAAAGATGGGAAAAGTTATTTGTTCGTTCTCAGCAAATAAAAAGATTAAAGGTATTAAAGAAAAAAAACTTCTTCTATATACTTTTTTCTTTTAAAATCATTTAGAGCTTTCCCCTTTCTTCAATTCTTTGTTGCTCCCCCCCTCCCCCCTTCTTTGTTTTTCTTTTAACCACTTTGCTATCAGTTCAGAACCATGCCCTTTACAAACTTCTTTGTTTCTAATTTCGTCTTTTAAACCATCCATTTCCTGTAGTAGTTTTTCAAACAGTAAACCTACAAAAGTATTACTTTCTGTGCTTTCTACCAGTAAAACCTTCACAGTCGTCAGCTACTTCTCTCCATTTAAATAACACTATCCACTATGCAACTAAGTCCACGTTAAGACCCAATATACACTATATTGTTGCATCAACTACAGAAAGCACTTATTTCACACCAGTTCAACGGTTCAGTGTTGCTGTTGCACTAACCCATCGTTATCAACACTGTCATCAACAACTTTGTACGAATAAATATCTAATGCTTATACGCACCAATTAATCTCCCTCCATCCTGGCTTTTTATCTTCATTAATAACTAACTACACAACGATCACTTAGAAAATTCTTCAAACAATAAATAATCGATCAGGTTAAAAACTTAACTAAATTGTTACCGAAACAATTTAAAAAATCACTGATATGCACTAAATCAAACTGTCAAAAAAAAAAAATTTAAAATAACTGCTGTGATTTGATAATTCTATCCGTATTTCTTACTTGTTCCATGCTAACAAATACATTAATCAGTAAGACAAGAGAAAAAAAAAAAAACAAAGTAGAACAATGCCAGAGAAAAAATTGATTTATCGCCCACCAGAAGTTACTCACTAAAAGTTTTTATAATAGAATTTAAGTGCAGTTGAAGAATAACAAAGAAAAACGAAAATGAGGAAGAGAAAAAAGAAGAGTTTAAAAAAAGACAGTAACATTTTCAAAAATAATTGCGACAAAAAAAATTAAAAGCCAGTATTAAAATTAAAATTCCTAACCTATTGTAGTGAAAACTGTTCCGGAATAATAAAGTGCTGTTACTAACGACCAATCAGTTTGATTTGTAACCAAAAATCCAACTTGATTATGAAAATAATCGACAGCCTCTTCAATAAATATCCTTCGTCTACCAGGTCTTTCCGCAGCCAAATCAATTAATATTTCTTCCATTCGTTTTATCAACAGTTCACGTTCATTTAAATAGTTATGATAGTTTTCAAGTTTTTTGGCCTCATCATAGCCTTCTTCAAGTACCAAAAATATTACTGCACCAACAAACATATAAAGCATTACAAATACCAATGGCAATAAATAGTTGATGTGACAGTGTTTGTAAAACCATTTTACTTTTTGTAAAACAGTCTTTGATTGCGGTATTGCTGGCGGCTGTGCCGATTTATACGCATCAACATTTACCGAAACTCCGCTACGATGACTTAATGCTGAAGCAGTAGTATTCTGCCGTTCAAGGGTACGCAGATAATGATGACCACCGGCGTTAGACTGATCCGCAGCAATACCAACGACTGAACGCCGAGCATCCGAACTATAAGACTGGAAGCCAGATCGATCTATTGCAGCCTTTAATAGTACCGGCATTTTCGCAGTCCCCGCTGCTGTTCAAAAAACCTTATAGATTCAGCCACAAAATACATTTATAAGATGCCGTCACAGCAGAAAAGACTAGCTGACCGACAGTATTCACCAGTTAAAAGCTGCTAAAATGATACTTATCGAGAACAAGAAAGAAATGGAAAAAACACAAGTCTTCTTCCTTCTTCTTGTTAACCACCTGTTGAAATGTCTTATTTATTTTTTTTCACCTTTCCACTATTCTAATCCTTTTTTCTTTCCTTTCTTTCCTTCTACTTCTGCTTTTTCTTCCTCTTTTTTCTTCGAGGCTTTCAGATTTCAGATTTCAAATTTCAACAGCAGTTTGCATCGGCACACGGAAAGACGAAGAATCACCAACCAATTATAGCGCGAGGCCTAACGTACTCAACACACAAGTATCGAATACGCAGTTCTGAAATTTATTTCTTCACTCAACAAATTGTTAATTTTGTTTACTTCCTAATTGATCAAATATATTAATCTACTCAGTTCTAATAACATTAGTGACAATGATTAAATCAGGAAAAAAAACAAAACAAAACAAAAAAAGCTAAAAATAAAAATAAAAATGATAACGATTATAACGATAATAACAACAATGACAACAACAATAGCAATTATAATAATAATAATAGAAACAGTAATAGCAATACTAATATTATTCGCAATAACAATTAAAAAAACGAAAATAATAGCGATAATAATGAAGTTAATGAGAAAAGCATTAATAGCAAAAAACTACGAAGAACAAAGAAACAGAAAAATAAATAAGTAAAGACGATCTTCTCACAGTGATAGAAGAAAAAATTAAATTGATTTTTTATCCAAATTATTTTTTTGTTTTTTGAAAACAATTCAAGTTAGGAAAATAAAATAATTTAACTTCAGTAAACAAACTATGTGCGATTTAGAAACGTCTTTATTAATTCTCGTTCATCTTATTTCCAACTTCAAACACGCATCTCTCTCTCTCCCTTTCTTTCCTTTGTGCTTCTTTTCCTTGCTTTTATCCCCATTCTCGCTCTTTTTGCCTTTTTTTAGTTACAGTGAACCATTCCAGTGATTGAAACAAAAAATTTTTTTTTGCC